TGCAGCCCATCGATGTTCTGCGTGATGACGTGCACGTTGGTCTGGCGGCACGCGGCAACCTCCGCAACCGCGAAGTGTCCGGCGGACGGCTCGTAGGTCCGCTCGCTCGTTGAACCAGGCTCAGCGACCACGTGTGCTGGGATCCAAAAATTGTCATACCAGCCGCGAGGGTCGGCGAGAAAGGCGGCGCGTGTGCCCCACTCCAGGACCCACTTGGCCCACACGCCCTCCGCGCCTCGGAACGTCGGAATGCCGCTCGGCGCAGACAAACCCGAGCCAGTGACAAACACGACTGGGTCGCCGCGCCGGATGATCCTCGCGAGCTGCAGCAGCGAGGACGGCGCAGAGCCGGTGGATGAGTCGCCGGACGGCGCAGAGCTGGTTGATGGGACAGGCGTAGAGCTGGTTGATGGGACAGGCGGCATGTCGGTTGGGGGAGGGGCGCTGTCTGCTGTTGCCGCAGCGGCTGGCTAGAACCGGCTGGATACACGGGGGACAGCCACCCGTCGGCACCGCGTCAAACAGGTCAGCGAGCGAGTTCTTTACCAGGTTGCAACCCTTGTTCCGCACTGTGTGCTGTGAACAGAGCACCAACCAACAGCTCTCAGGACCCCCCGGTGCTGGGGTGCTGCCAGCAACCAACCAAGTCGAGCGGAGCAGCGTCGTTCCGATGTTTCGGCGGGCACTTCTCACCTAAGTCCTTGTGGCGGGCCGCCAGGCCCGGAAGCAGATGCCGACGAGGATCAGACACGGCGCGCTATCTGGGCTCGGAGGTCGGCAAAAAGGTTGCGCAACCGACACCAGCGACCAGGATCGTCGATCGAGGTAGGTGCACGCTGCTGAAGCAGTGCACCTACATAGTGCGGGACCTGGGGCAGCAACCAACAACCTGGATGGGGACGGGGTGCTGCTCAACCGGCGGCAAACAGCAGCGTTCACAGCCGAGTGCGGAACAAGGGTTGCAACTTGGTAAAGAACTCGCCGCGCAGCTGTCCCGGGCCAAAAGAGAATCTTGTCCTTTTGCGTTTTAGCGCAGGGGAGGGTCCAGTCGGCGGCCGCGGATCACACACTCAGCGCGCTGTTTTCGGATACGCCGGCCGCGCGGCGCCGCCCGCCTCCTCCACAACTAGAGGTCGAACCGACCGCATCCCCTCGGCAAGGTTCATCGGACGGTGTGATTCCCCACGGTGTCGTCAAGCGAGAGCGCGGTAGCCGCAAGTGGCGATGGCGTCGACATCGATGGCCTGCCCACACCGCCCTGGTACGGCCGCACTTGTGCCGCCCTCATGCAGGAGCGCCGCCACCGACGCCTCGACGACGCGGCAAGCTTCTTCTCTGTTGCTGCAAGTGTTGCCGCAAGCTCTTCTATCAGCGTGCGCCGACTCAAGGGCCGCTAGCTTCTGCTCGAGAATAGCGACCCTCTCCTCGGCATTGGTAGTTGAGCTTGAGGGGCAGCAGCTAGGAGGCGCCGGCTCCGTGTCAACCCACAAGAGCCCTCAGAGGGTGAGCTGGCGAGAGCATTGTAAGAAACGCCCCCCCGACCACCGTCTCGCCTGGCTCTCCGCCTTCGTCATGAAGCCCAGCGCCGAAGCGGCAACCAAGGCCTGATGCGACGGCATCGGTCCCCGTCGCGACAGAGTAGCGGCCAGAAGCAGACGTGCCCCACCGCCACTCGCAAAGGTGACGCCATGCCGGATGCTGAGGTCTCAAAGCCTAGCCGCGGTGGCAAAGTGGCCATCCATCGAGCATCGTGGGTCTCGGCAGATCGGCGGGGCGCGGGGGCCATGCTCGTCGGCGCGCAGGGGGGTGGTCAGATTGCCTCTTTGACACGCGCTTTAGATTACCGCAGCTGTGAATAAATAGTATCTGCAAGAGACACCAGCACCCCCTCGTTCAATGGGACAGGCGGCGGATCGTGCGCGCTGGACACGCGGGCTGGGCACAAAAGCACAAACTACCCCGGGCCCGACCGAAAATCGCACGACGGCTGGGTTCACGCAACCTCCGAGTTAGCTAAAAAAAGCGCATAGGCGGTTGAACTCCGCAAAGTCTCTTTTTCACCCGTTTCGCACTGGCCCCGGCCCGGGGGGGCCGTAGGCTGTCCGCGACGTGTGACAGTGACTCCAACGTCGTCGGGTAGCCTGACGCACCGCCCGGTGTCACCACTCCTCCCGTTTCAGCTCTCTAGAGCTTCGCCACGACAGCACGCCGACGGCAAGCTCTGAGGTCCGTCTGGTGGGCATGCTGTGTTACAGCCGCCCCGCGCATGAAGCTCGCACCATGACTCACTTCTAAGCCCTCTCATCCCGACCTGGCGGCGTGTGTGAAGGATGCGCGGCCGAGCCGCTGGCTGGCACTGCCTGAACGTCCGAGATGGCCGCAGCACAGGCCAGACGTCGCGCCGCTGGCCAAACCAAGCCGGTTTGCGGTCGAGCCGGTCGAGCTGATTGGGCCGGCGAAGAGTTTCGGATCGGAGCACACCAACCTGGCCGACGCGGAGCGGCCAAAGTCAAAATCGGAGGTGCGAGCGAGTCGAAAAATCGAGAAAAAATAGAATTTTGATCTTGTGATCTCTGCCACGGTTCCCATGCCCCAAACTTGTCCCCAACACGGGGGCATGCACTCCGCAGCCTCAAACCCCGCTGTCACTAGGGGTCGAGGCTAGAGAAAACCAACCCTTAGGTATGTTGTTCTCTCGTCTCGTCTCTGTCTCTGTCTCTGTCTCTGTCTCTGTCTCTGTCTATGTCTCTCTCTCTCTCTCTCTCTCTCTCTCTCTCTCTCTCTCTCTCTCTCTCTCCTCTCGGCTATCCGGAGGACGTGCAAGAGCCCACAAGGTGCCCGCGAACGCGACGCTGGTCTTCGAGGTCGAGCTGATGCCTGATCGGCCTGGAACGGGAAGAAGCCCAAGTGCAAGATTGCAAGAACGAAGAAGGACACAACTCGCGACGGCGACAACGCGACAAGGTGGGGGCGCGCGAGCCCGGCAGCCAGGCGGCGCAGGCTAAGAAGCCGATGCGGCCGAAGCCGCCAGAGCCGGAGCCCGGGGCCGGCGGGCGGCGGCGGCATGGGCAGCTCACGGCCGCCCATATGAAACGGCGGACCGTGTTTCATGTCATGTGGCGATTAGTAACCGCGCATGCTCTGTCACACACGCTGCACGCTCAGCCGTTGCGTCTCCATGGATTGCCAGGCGGCGGTCCGTTTGCCTGGGTGGCATGCATGTTCTTGCCGCAGCAACCCTCGCGTCCCTCCGCGTAGGAGCGTTTGCGAGACGCGGCCACCATGTCGCGGACGGCGTCGGCGCTGCTGTATGTCATCCCGTCGCCGTCATATTCACCCGTAGCCTCCCCGCGCGAGAGCGGCTCGGACTCGCACAGCGTCGCTGCCACTTGTCGCAGGCCGACGGCGGAGTGTGCGTGCGTCGGCACCACCAGTGGGTACGCCGGTTCACAGAGCAGCCAGACCACGAAGGAGATGAGGTTCCTCGCCATTTCCGAGGAACTCGGCCTGCGGCGCTTTTCTCGCGCGGCACAAGCACGCACACACCGTCGCCGGGGCCAAACGCCGAGCACAACGCGTGGAAGTTTTGTTTTTTTTCCAGTCCTTTTGTGTGGACTCTGCTGACAGGGTTAGTGCACCACTAACCGTTGCTTTTATGCGGCAGGATTTTGCTTTATGCGGCAGCATTCACCGTGACTCTTGCCGTGGATGGTTAGTGACCGCGGTTGCTTACGCAATACTACGCCATGAGCTGAGCTTCACCAGAGAGAGAGAGAGATTTGTTTGTTTTGTTCTTCACCAGCCGTTGAAGAAATGTGGGCTCTGTGATTTGCATTTGTTTGGGCTCGGCAGCTTGTCGACTACCGGCCGGAGCCGGAGTCGGAACCGTATTCGAGATGGTCTTCGAGGGTGTCGAATATGTCATTCGCCTCGCTAGTAGAGCCGGTGCCGCATGACTCCAGCCGTTTCTCTTCCTTCCCTTGCCTTCTCTTGCCGTCCGTTCTCTGTGCGCATTCCACTGCATGCGCGATGCGGCATCACAAGCGTCTTCTGCCGGGCGCGCATCGCTGAACTCGTACCTGGTAGGCCATCGCTTTGCTGAAAGATCAGGCGCCTGAATGGCGACAGTGAGCGTCTCCTACTTATGGATTGCGCTCGAGGTACGAGGAGCGCAAGAGCGCGCCGCAGGCGAAGCGATTTTTTGGCGGCAGGGCTGTTCCAATTTATCTTGATTCTTGTGACTTGTGATCACGCGCGAGCCTGTGAATAGGCCCTTGAGGCCTCAACCCCCAACTAAAGGGTTGACGGGGGGTCTCAACCGAGACCGTCAACCAGATGGTTGAGGGGGGGGCTCAAGCCTCAACCCCTCAATCGAACCCCTCAACTAAGGTCTACGCCCTTCCCCAACCACCCCGACCTAGGTTTGAGTAGAATTCTTAAAATACAAGCCTCTCTCACAGCACACTGGCACGACAAGGGCGCGGACTGGCGGTTTGAGGGATCCCTATCTAGATACCATACCGGGTAGAATCCAAATCGTAGCGCCACAAAGTGCCTCGGGGACAGGTGGCGTTTATTTTTGCTTGGCCGGCCCTCATGCCGGGGTAGGTAGGGTAGGTCTGGGCCCTCCCGTCGGGTTTTTCCCTCTCTTCAAGCTGGAATTTTCAGAAAAAGAAATTTTCCGCGGAAATCACGATGTCAACCCTCCCCAAATGGGTGATCTGATGCTTGTAGGGCTTGAGAGTGGCCTCCCATGTCACAAGAAGGACTGTGGATGCAGGAGAGTACCACCAACCATCACTCTAGTTGGTATAGTACCCCACCTTCACCCATCGAGTGATTTCTTTTTTAGTTTCCCATAAGTAGGGTAGGTAGGTAGGTAGGTAGGTAGGTAGGTAGGGGCACCGCAGGGGCCGGCCAGGGTTTTTGCAGAATTTCAGCATGAGGGCCGCCCAAGCAAAAAAAACGCCACCTCCCGGGGAACAGCTTCTCTCCCTGCTCCTCCCGCTCGTGGAGTCGTTCGCACGCGCTCGGCCGCCGAACGTTCTCATCCTCCTCGCGGACGACCTCGGCGTCGGCGACCTCGAGGCGTACTCAGCCTCCGCCTTGGTGCCGACGCCGGCCATCTCGGCGCTGTCCGCAGCGGGCGTCCGCTTCACAGACGCGCACGCGCACCCAATCTGCTCGCCGAGCCGCTACTCCCTCCTCTCTGGCAACTACGTCTTTCGGGGCCGCCGGCCCTCGTCCTCGTGGGGCCTCTCGGGAGGCTCGCAGCTCCTGCCTGGCCAGCGGACCATTGCGGAGTCGTTCCGCGCGGCAGGTTACGCGACCCTGCTGCTCGGCAAGGCGGGCATCGGAGGGGAGGTCGCCGCGCTACCCGATGAGCTGCGCCGCTCGACCGAGGACGACAGGGTCGACTGGCTGCTGAGACGAGGGCGCAGGCTTGCCGACGGCCCGGCGCAGTGGGGCTTTGACGAGTCGCTCTCGATGGTCTCGGGGATCCAATCGCCGCCGTACGCGTGGTTCAATGGCAGCGTGGCGTCGCTTCCTCGCGGGAGCCGCTGCTGGGGCACGGCGACCCACGCGACGCGCACCGGCGACTGGGTGTCGGGCAAGTTTGCGGGCACCGGGCTGCGCCACCGCCGGTACACGCCGTGCGGTGCAGGGGACGGGCACGACGGCGCGGCGGACTGGGAGGGGCACATGGCCGACGCCCACCTCTCGCAAGCTGCGCTCGGCTTTTTCGACCGGCGCCGCCGCGCACGCGGGCCGCAGCCGCCCTTCTTTGCCCTGGTCGCCACCGCGGCGGTGCACGCGCCCTTCACGCCGCCCGACCGGTTCCGGGACGCAGACATCCGCACATGGGTCGCCACCAGCGAGGTGGCGGCGCCGCGCCGGCTGCACGTCCCCCACTCGTCCATGGTGGCGGAGTTGGACGCGGTGGTCGGGGCGCTGATGGCGGCGCTCCGCTCCGCAGGCGAGCTCAACGAGACGATTGTGGTCTTTGCGAGCGACAACGGCGGACTCAGCTGCGCGACCAAGCAGCACGGATCGTGGAGGCCCTCGCCCGAGACACCCGCGCCGCCGTTTGAGGACGTCTCGCCCGAGCGGTCCGGGCTGCAGTCGCCGCTCTGCGGCGCCAATTCTAGCGCCCACCTGCGGGGGCACAAGGGAGACCTCTACGAGGGAGGCCACCGGGTGCCGCTGCTGGTAGCGTGGCCGGCGGGCGGTGTGCCCGCCGGGGGGGAGTGCGGCGACCTGGTCGGGCTCACCGACCTCTACGCCACCCTGCTCGACCTGGCCGGCCTTGCGCCGCCCGCTCCCGGCCAGGCAGCGGACAGCGTCAGCTTCAAGCGCCGCCTGCTCCGACCCCGCGACGGCCACCCGGCCCGGTCCGACCTGCTCGTGCCGTCGCCGCCGAGCTGGGCGCTGCGGTGGTCGCGCTGGAAGCTGATCAGCCTCGCGCACGGCAGCCAACGCGCCACCGAGCTCTTCGACCTCGAGGCGGACCCGGGCGAGACGACCAACCTGCTGCCGCCCCACAACGTGAGCGGGCAGCCGCCACGCGCGTCCGGCGAGGCCGCCTCGCGCCACGAGGCGACGGCCGCACGCATGGCCCAGCGCGCGGACCAGATTCTGGGGCGCGGCGTTTCATGGGCGTTTCTTTAAAATTCTTTTCGTTTTCGTTTTATGTATGGTTCTTGCACTTGTGCAAGTAGATTGGGCGTCTCTTCTGCCAGTCCCCGGAGTCCCCCCCTTTGATGGGGGAGGCCCCGCAGGCTGGGCGCGCAGGGTGGGGCTGGGGGCCACCTCGAACCCCTATAGCCAGGGATTCGAGCGGAGGCGCCCCGGAGTCATCTATCCGTCGGGCCCCGGTACATTCATTAGAACTCTGTCACTTTGCGCAGCAGAGCCGTGGCTTTCGCCGACTGGACGGCAGTGCGCTGCGCTGTCGCTCTGTCGAGCACGCTCTCGTGCTTCGGCTAGAGATCTCCCTTCCACCGAAGGGAGGATCGCCCTGCCACAGTGTTACGCGAGCGACGCCAGCTTGCGAGACGTTCAATTCGAGCATCGGGTCACGCGACCTATGGAGACCTAGTCAGAGGCAAGCGCGGGCGCTGCCCAAGCGGATCGCCGGCAACTAGTGCCGCCCGCGCCTGGCGCGACCGCCTTCAAGCGCGGGCGGCCCGTGGCTTTGCTCCATCAAACGGGACAAGGCAAAACACAGTTGCACAGATACATGCCGGCGGCGCGACTCTGACAGACTCCCCCCCGCAGATGGCAGATCGTCCTCAGTGGGGGAGACCGCGACACCGGTGACGGAGCGCAGTTGGGAGTGTCTTTGGCTCACGCCAGGGCGCTCGTTGCTCCTCCGTCTCTTTGTATCTTCCAACTGCGTTTATCAGAAGACGGGCTCTTACGAACATTCCGGGAGGAGGACTGCTGACAGGGTTTGTGATCAGGAGTGAATCCAGGGTCCCTCCTCATTTCTGTCGTGTAGAGAGGGAGTTTTGTTGTATGTACTTTTAGCTTACTGGGAAAACCCGCCGCCACCCAGCACCCTCGCCTCGCCCTCCCGCCACCTAGCCGCTCGCTCGCTCCTATCCGTGCCACGCCTATCCGTGATCCTGCCGTTACCGCGCCGTCCTTGCTCCTCCCTGCCGCGCCGCTCCTTCCTCCGTCGCCGTGCCGCCCTTGCCGTTTAGGGGGGAAAAGGTACCTCGACCCTCACGCCTGCAACCCTCGCGCGACAGCACACCATTGCTCCGCACGAGACACCGTTGCAGGACCAACCCCAAAACGCGACAGCGCACAAATTAGGGAGGGTGGGTGGGAAGCAAGACAGGCCGTGTGGGGTGTGGGTGTCACGAGGACAGACGTCCACGAAGACGGTGGACGGACGCAAACTCCTTATCCGATTCACACTCACGGCTGTCCTACTGGTCATATAAAAAGTCGGCCGTCCGTGAGCCCCTAGCTCGCCGACGGCGAGGGAGATGCCACGAGGGGTCGCGGTGGCGTCCATCGCCAGGCTCCCTAGCTCAACCGACGACCCTCGTGCCTCGGGATCGACGGCCGATCGTCATGCCGCCCCCCCTGCCGTCCGTTACCGCCGTGCCGCCGTCCGCCGCTCCTACAGTGCCACGCCCCGTGCCGTTTGTCCCGCCGTCCGATGCCCTGCCTGCCGTCTGTTGCCGCCGCGCCGCCTTACCGCCGACCCTTGCCGTGCGTGCCGCGCCGCCTTTACACACACACCCATACTTCCTGCTTGCTTCGACGGGGTTTGTGTTGAGGAGTGACCCGTGCCGCCGTGTGCCCCGCAGCGGTGCACTAACCCCGAGAAACCCTTTCACTCCTCATCGCAAACCCTGTCAGCAGTCCTCCTCCGGGAATGTACGTAAGAGCCACATCTTGGAGCACTTGGAGTGCAGTCGGTAACCTCACATCCAGGGCCGGGGAGCTCAGAAGCGCACCCAGCGGGCCGGATGATCGGGATCGGGTTGCGGGCAAGAGAGCCCTAGCCCCGGGGGTGCGCGTTCGCAGGGCCATAACACGGGTCTCCGAGGGATAGCTCCGCGCTCCGGGTTTCCCCTAGCAGCAGAACGCACCCTCTACTCAGAGCTAAAGGATACTCTCCGAGGGTTGGACCCGCGTACCAGGTTTCCCCTTAACTGCAAGGACGCCCCCTCTACTCGGAGCTAGTGATACGTGATACGGGAATACGTACCGCCCCCACGCAGTACCTGTACTACTCGACGATAATACAAGAATACGATAATACAAGAATACGCAGCTTGGAAGTTGCAGACGCCTATAAAGAAAAAACAGCTCGCTAAATTTCGGCGGCTAAAAAGCAAAGGACGGGCGCTTTTGATCGGCAAAGCAAAGTTGGAGTAACGGCGACCGCGTCGCCACAATGCCAGTCGCCTGTCGAGCAGCCTTGGCGGCGCGCATGCGCCGCAGGGTTGACCGACAGCCACGCGCCTCGAGCCTCTCGCTCCACTCGCGGCACGACGCACCCCGCGCGCCGGTCAGCGCAACAGGAGTATTGCGACATGCTGCACAACGCCAAGGACAGCACTGAGAAGCTGGCGCCAGTCGCCCACCAGCATGTCTCAGCACCGGGTGAGGGAGCATGCTGCGCACGCTGATGCAGCACGAGGTCACCACCAATCAGGCCCTCACGCCACTGCACGGCCGCCCTCGAGCACCAGCAGCCGCGCTGCGCCATGCTCAAGCTCAGGAGGCCACCCTGCTTCTCGCAGCTTTGTGCAGCGCAGCGAGCGAGCAGCGCCGCACCAGGCGGACCCATGGCGTACTCAGCCAGCCGTGAGGCGGAGGCAGGCCGAGTGAGCGCGAGCCGCGCGGGAGGCCATGCCCCGCGCACCGGCGAGCGAGTGGCACGAAAGAGTGCAGTCGCGCATGCTTTTGCGTAACTCAGGGCTGTCCTTACCTTATATTTTCCCGTGTCCGGTTTTCCGTTTCGGGCGACGGCACACTCACCGAGCTATCCGGGCGGGGAATCATGTCGGCGAAGGCGGGCTCTGGCATCTCGGTGATGCGCTCCGATCTCGACGCGTCGACCTCGACGGAGGTGGACGCGCACGAGGCGCAGTGGCGGGCCGGCGTCAACCGCCAAGCGCGTCCAGACGCCGCTTCGCAAAGACGGGCGGCGTCATTGGCTGCTGCAGCCAAGCGGCGGCGGATAAGGACATGAACAACATACCTGCGCAAGCCGTCGCCGCCCGGGTGGCCGCAGGCGGTGCCATCTCAACCCACTCTCGGCACCGCTGCACGTGCGTGCTCCCTCTCCCACCCAACTCGGCTCCACTCTCGTCCACCCGCGCCCACCCCATCATCTGCTCTCAGGCTGATTGCGGCGTGTGTTGCGCAATGCCGACCCACCAGACGCTGGCCAGAGCATGATTGTGATGCCTCTGTCTGGGCCGGGGGGGCGTTCGACAGCGCGCGAGGCTGCCTCCCTGCCCTTTGCCGACGCTTGCGACCACTGCTGAGTTGCATGCAGTACAGAGTAGCAGTGGTGGGGAGGGCGTGCGGCCCCCCCCCCCCCGGGCAGAATGGTAAACTCGTGTCTACTCACCTCGTCGGCTCCATCGGCTGCCTCTCCTCGTGCGCCGGCTGCCTCTCCATCCAACCGCTTCTGCGTCCCCTTCTCTGCCCGGTGCTCGCGTGTCGCGATGTCGCTCTGCCGAGAGGGTCATCGCCGGCGTAGGCGGAGCGGCGGGCCCTTCGTTACAGAGACAACAAAGACATTTCACCCCTCGGGCTGTTGTTGCAGACAGAAAAACAAATTTGGCGCGCGTGCGCGCAAGGTATGCTAGTACATTGAAAAGTCTCTCTCGAAACAAAGCGGCGTCCTTCCGGCAATTCGGCGGGCGCTCTACTCGCGCTCTACTCGCCATAGCGTTCGCCGGATGCAACAGCTTCTCTCCCTGCTCCTCCCGCTCGTGGAGTCGTTCGCACGCGCTCGGCCGCCGAACGTTCTCATCCTCCTCGCGGACGACCTCGGCGTCGGTGACCTCGAGGCGTACTCAGCCTCCGCCTTGGTGCCGACGCCGGCCATCTCGGCGCTGTCCGCAGCGGGCGTCCGCTTCACAGACGCGCACGCGCACCCAATCTGCTCGCCGAGCCGCTACTCCCTCCTCTCTGGCAACTACGTCTTTCGGGGCCGCCGGCCCTCGTCCTCGTGGGACCTCTCGGGAGGCTCGCAGCTCCTGCCTGGCCAGCGGACCATTGCGGAGTCGTTCCGCGCGGCAGGTTACGCGACCCTGCTGCTCGGCAAGGCGGGCATCGGAGGGGAGGTCGCCGCGCTACCCGATGAGCTGCGCCGCTCGACCGAGGACGACAGGGTCGACTGGCTGCTGAGACGAGGGCGCAGGCTTGCCGACGGCCCGGCGCAGTGGGGCTTTGACGAGTCGCTCTCGATGGTCTCGGGGATCCAATCGCCGCCGTACGCGTGGTTCAATGGCAGCGTGGCGTCGCTTCCTCGCGGGAGCCGCTGCTGGGGCACGGCGACCCACGCGACGCGCACCGGCGACTGGGTGTCGGGCAAGTTTGCGGGCACCGGGCTGC